GGGGCAAAGGGGGAAGCGACTAGTTGATTAGTCGCTTACATCCCTAGTGAAAACATGCTGACTATGTCTACACTGGCGGCTTCTTGTGCAAGAACATCTTGCGCAAGGGTTCTTGTGCAAGAAGCCCTCTTACCACGCCATACTGTAAATCATCTTTGGCAAGAGAGGGTGGGCAGTATGGACGCTCTGCGGATTCTTGTGCAAGAACCCGCCAGCATAGACATAGCCACTGTTTCTTGATGCTAGATAGTCTAATAGCCCTCCACTGCTCTACAGGGCAACCTTTGGCCCATCCAAGTTCTAAGTTCAGCCTGCAAGACATTTTGTTAACTGTTGCCCATGTGCAAAGTTGCATAGTTTTTTCCCCCAGTACTCGTAATACTGAAGTGAAACATGCTTAAAAGCAAAGGCACATGAAGTGAGGTGGATGCCAACTGCACACAGCACAGAGCCACGGGCTCCCTCTTCATCCAAAGTGTTGCTATGGTTTAATTGGCACACCCCACAAACTAAGTATGCAAGTGCAGTTAGTAAAAAAATTAAAAAGCTACCCTATTCCAGGAGATTGTCTTGGTTACAACGTTATGGCCCACTGACACGAAGGGCCACTCATGCGGCCCACTCACTAGCTTAGGTTGCCCATTGCTGCTGTAGAGTTTCTTAAAGGCCTCAAAAGAAATAAATGGCAAGTGTGAACAGGTGTGGACAATCATGGAGAGGGAGAGCTAGCCAAGTCAGTACTAAGTGCATGTTTTCTGCAGTTTAACCTTACCTGATCAAAGAGCTGCTTCCCTGTGGTGTTGGGCTGGATGGCAAACTCCAGCTCAGCATCCATGGTGGTAACTCGCACACTGATCTGGAAGATAAAAGGAAGAAGGGTGGTTGCAATGGGTGTTCCTAGTAATACCATACCATTAGAGAGAACACAGGAATGGCCATTCCACATCATGAGTGGCCCTTTTATCCAGTCCTGCTCCCAGTCGACTAACAGCCAATGCTGCAGTTTTTAAGATCGCCCATTAAGGGTTTGTTGTTCCTCTATCTTAGTACTCTCGCCCGACCCAAGTCGGTGAATAGTTGACCTCTGCTATGAAACGAGCGTTTACATCCCTTTAAAAAAAATCCAAATGTGATGGATAGAAAGAGCACTGGCCAGCACTCAGCGACTACCAGGTTAAACTCAGGTAGCTAAGGGTGTAATCCAAATGTGATGGACAGAAAGAGCACTGGCCAGCACTCAGTGACTACCAGGTTAAACTCAGGTAGCTAAGGATGTTGGCAGGGAGCCAGAAGTACCAATGGGATACACTGCTGAAATTTGAGTTGTATATAGATTTGCCTCCTGTGTGTGAATTTAAGCCAGGAATTAGAAGACACAATAGATTTAAAACCCAAGCAGGACTACTGTGCATCCAAGGAATTCAGGGCATGGAAGTGGACTGAACCATAAAGTGATTGAGAGTAAATAAGGGAAAAGTGTCACCATCAGGTATTTCTTTGTTTTGGTTGTTTGGTTAAGCTTCTGTATTGTGACTTTCCCTCTCACCATATTTAAGCTATAGCCCAAAGAAATTATGTTTTGATCGGTTCTTTTCTTTGTTGTTGTGTAACACCTATCAACCAAGCATGCTTTATCAAGTATGTTTGTTTTGTTAATAAAAATCTCCCTTGTTAAAGGCAGCCTCTTGGAAGGTAACAGGAGGTCTCTGTGTGTCTGCCTACCTGGAGAGGTTAGCTATCAGAGATTCAGCTTGTTTTCTGTGCTGTTTCTTTTTTCAAGCCCTCCTGTGGCAAGAGAACTTGGTACCCCAGGGAAGGAATTCAAGTGTTCCTTCTGTTTTTTTCATGCTTAAAAAAAAAAAAAATCACTTGATGGTAGCAACCTATTTTCCAGAGGCGGTTCATCTGAGACTCTAGGGAGTAGTGTCTGTATAGAGCCTATAGAGGAAAGGTATTTAAGGTCTTTCGCAGGCCTCCAACCTTCTACACTTGGGAGTGCTAGAGTGGGGAACTGTCCTGACACCATTCTAAACATAAAAGTTTCCATGTGTAAAAAGGTATATTGCAGCTTGTAAGCAGATAAATAGGGTGAAAGCAGTTGACGTTCTCTGTAGAGCACTAACTTTAACGGAAAGCATTTTAAACTGCTGGTTGTGTTCTCCAAGACCCACTACTCAGACGAGGAGATTCCACTGAGCAGGTTGGCTCATGAAATTTTAACTGTATAAGTTGCTTGATAAGCCTACCAAGGGGGTTAGAGAGCTACAACTCCCTTGGATTGAAGCAAGTTGTGTAGCCAAAACCCATGCACAAATCTTGGGAATAGTGAGGATACCAATGCAGAAGCTTACGCACACATCACCTCTGTCGGCTAGGATCCCTTGCAAGTGTATAGACAGTTCATAAAAGTTGTAGGACTAACAAGCTACCTTGTCATTCTTTTGAACTGCAAGAAATACTTTCTATGAAATGCTCTGCAGTATATTTGTCAATCATTAAGTTTTACACTAAGTTTTGACTGTAACTAAACCTTTGACAGGTAGGATAAGAGCATGAGGCGCTGAAGGCTAAGTTGGTGGTATTCTATATTAGAGGGGGCCCACATTACTCATAGTAAGAGTGAGGCCTTTTTAGCTTGGATTTTGGGATATACTGGGGAAACAGGAAGAGCTATGAAGAAATTCGTAGTTCCAAGTTAGAGACACACTAGAGCCACTACTAGACTAGCTATTGGATGGACTGGATTCTATCCATCCCCAGAGCTACATGAATTCTATAGGGTTACCTCTAGAGAACTTAAGGCTATGGCTACGGCTACATTAGAACTTGCTGCACTATGAAGTCAAGTTCCCATTGGGTGTGAAAGAGCCACTCCCAAGTGATGTAAGGAAATTTAAGCTCTCTCACCAACATAGCCCTTTTCCCCACCTACGCAGCTACTATAGCTTGAAAAATTAAGCTACCAGAGGAGCTCTCCCCCATTGGCTTAGGGTGGTTGTATTATGCAGCTGCTCTGCTGTAAGCTCTAAGTAGCCATTGCCTAAGGTGGGAAGGGCTCCCCTTTGAATACTACTGTATGACAGAGGTTTGAGTCCATTCAGACCTCTTTGGAGCAGCTATCAAGAAATAAATTCAGTGTCAAGTTGTATTTTCCTGGGTTAAAGGCAATTGGCTCCTTGTAGATCTGAGTGGAAAAAATCCTGCTTGAAAGTGGAAAGGATGTTATGAAAATAAGGGTATGAGCTGAGCTAGTTTTAGGGGGTTTGGTAGACAAAAGAAAGTGAAGGAGTGCAATGTAAGTTCTTTGAGAACACATTTGTTTGCACCTATCCATTTATATAGAGGGGGGAAACCTCTAAGGCCTATGTGCACTGTACTTCAAGTATTTTGTAGGCAAGGTATTTTTAAAACAAGATGTTGTAGTACTTTCCCCGCCAGAACACCCAAACCAAAGTTTCAGGATTATGCAGAAGATATCCAATGTATCAATACTGAGAACTGTGCTATGGTCACCCTAGCTTGATGCTTACCAGGTAACTGGTTACCTGTTCACATCTCTATCCTCTTCCATGCCCTCACTGAAGAGAGCAATTGTTGCTTTTAATTGGCTAATAAATACAGTCTAACTAGGCATTCTTGTGTTAACATATGAACTAGGTAGCCAGGAAGCAGGCTGGCATCTGCTGATCACTGGTGAAGGAACAATCCTTTTCACTCTCCCTTTTACAGGTTTTTAAAAATGCTGCTTACTGAAGGCATCCTCCTTGGGGCAAGATATTTGTGTTGATATTAGAGACACTGCATGTTGGCTCGATACTTCAGCCCACAATTCCAATTAAACAGGTGAAGACATAATTGTACCATTCATTATCCTGGAACTGAGTATTTTGAAGTTGCTTCCCAAATCAGGCTTTAAAGTGACATGGTCTTGATGGATGGTAGTACCAGCCCTACATCCAAGATTGTGTAACTTTTTAAACCTGTGTGAGCCCACAATGAGTTAAGATGCAATGCTCAACACTGCTATCGCAATAATTGGGCATGCAGTAAAGGGCCCTAATTCAGTGCATTAAAGCCTATTCTACCACTAATCTCTCTGTGTGTGTGTGTGTGTGTGTGTGTGTGTGTGTGTGTGTGTGTGTGTAAAATACTTGCTGACCTCTTCATTTACTTAACTCTGCTTTAGAGGAGGCAAATGCAACAGGTATAAAATCTTGAGACCTGCGCAGTTTTGCTTAATTAACTTAATGTAGATTCTACTGGCCAGTTAACTGAGAAGTAGGTGCTCTGGAAAGCAACCCTACTGTATTTAGGCATCACTTGCCTGTACTAATTGAGGGACTTACTGAGTAACAGACTTGTGAGTTAGCATTTGATCAAGAGGGAGAGAGCTTCTTATGACATACTGGTCAACTAGTGGTAACAGTGCAGCTGATTTCATTTATCTATCATCTCCTACTATGCAAACCATCATGCTGTATTAAGTTTTGTAGAGATAAATATTGTACCTCTACAGTGGGACATTTTTGCAGAGAAGCTAGTTTGTGTGCATGAGCATTGGATGTGGATTGGTAGTGAGAGCATCAGCAAAAGTTCTGTTTAAAACAGAGTGGAATCTCTCTGTATTTTCCCAGTAAGCAAATATAAGTATTGTTACAAGCCTGACCTAAAAAGAAGGATGGGGACATGGCTCCTTAATGAGACATTGTCTATGTGCAGGAGGGGGTTCTATCCCAACAGTTCCTTTAACAGCTAGAACTCTTTTCCTCGTGTACTCTACTGTGATAAAAACAGAACTGTAAGTGTATATTAGAACATACACTACATACATAACCTCTGAGGAGACTGCTATCTGCTAAAAGTCTTTCCTTGTTAACCTTAAGAAAATAATCCCACTTCTTATAATGTCTACACAGCAGCATTAGTTCAGAATAACTTGTTATTCCGAAATTATATGAGCATCTACACAGCTAGACCATTATTTTGAAATAATTTTGCTGAAATAAACTGCCTGTTATTTCAGCATTTGCAAACCTCATTTCATGAGGAATAATGTCTCTTTGAAATATGTATTTCTGAATAGCGGTAGCATGGACGTTCCACTGCTGCTATTTTGAAATTACTCCTCCCCCAGGCCATTCAAAGTAATTACAGGCAGTCCCCGGGTTACATGGATCCGACTTACATCGGATCCCTACTTACAAACGGGGTGAGGCAACCCCGCACTAGCTGCTTCCCCCCAACAGACCAGGGAGACACGAAGCTAGCTACCCTAGGACTTTTGAACATGTCCACTATTTTAAATTTTGCTTTCTATTCTAAGATAGCTGTGGGATTTTAGTGTATGTCTACACTAGGAGAAAAAGTCAATTTAATATATGCAACAAACCTAGCTGAAGTCAAAGTAGCTTAAACTCTGCTTTTGGCACAGTCTACTCCACAGGAAGAACACTTTCTGGTTGATGCTGGTAACCTGCTTTCATGAGGAGTAAGGAAAGTCAAAAGGAGTGTCCCCCTCTGTTCTAATTAGCTATCTTAAACTAATTTGAACCCTGGAAGATCAACAGCGGCAGCTTCGGTCTTCCTTTGTAGCATAAACATACCCTTAGGCTACATCTACACTACAAGGTTTTTGCACAAAAACTGGCAGAGCGTCCACACCTCAAGCGTGCTTTTGTGCAAGTAAATCAGTAGAAGAGAAGGCTTTTGGCAGTGTAGTTATTCCCCTCCCCACAAGGAATAACTTTGTGCAAGAGTTCTTATGCAAAAAGGCAACTGTGGACACTCCAAAAAAGGACAGGTGCTCTGTTGGCCATTCTGTGAATGGTCATCAGAGCTTTCTTGTGCAAGAGTGTC